GGTGTTTGTCCATCTGATAAGAGGAGGCAAGTGGATAACTACCCTCAAAGTAATATACTATGAATAGCATTTTCTTTTCCTGCAAACATTCACAAGGTTTTTATTTATTCCCACCCCAAAAACCTTAGTTTGACTCCAAGATCGAATCCCCATTCATACCTCTCTTTTTATTTTATATCACCTTAACAAAAACAAATGATTCTCAATATTTGTCTTCAATTTAGATGACCCAGTTTTGATCGCAACTTCTCGGCGGCTTATGTCAACTACAATACGTATTTGGTTCATGTTGAGATGTACCTCAGACGCCAATCCTCCTGCTTTTTTCTTCCAATGGCTCTGTAACGACAAACAGTTGTCTAACGAGTTGGCTAACATAACGCTCTCCGAGACAATACGAAAAGGTGAAACGATGACTTCCAGTGAAATGGCGATTCAATACCCTCTGTCCGGAAATCCTTGTGATTACAAATGCACTGCTTCTTCAAGTCATGGTTCTGGGAGTGCAGTCTTCAATTACACGTTTATTCGTAAGTTGAAGTTTTTTTTTCATTGTATGTATAGGTTGTTGAGGCCAACCCATCTTTCATGTTTCATATACACTGTTATTTTGACAATGATTTATTCCTAATAAATTTAGATAACAGTATACATTCTCAGATTTTATTGAATTATAATTTGCCATTGTTTTATTTTTTGCGTGACTGCTAAAGCATGTGTATGCTACTATGCTTATCAACTAGGGGACCTACGCCCTTAAATCATAAATGACAGTAATAAGAATTAATGCCCGACACAAGGGCACTAATATAGCACATCCACACGGTTTGATCATGGGGCCTCACAGTTACGAGGCCATTGCTTTGCCACTGAACCATGACTGTACGCAGCGGGGGCTAGGGTTGGGGACAGTTCCCACATTTGCATACAGCCAATCAAATCTCATCTTGTCAATAACTAGCTTGTAAAGATTTTACGGATGCGAAAGGGTACGATGCGAAGCTCCTCACGTACGAACAGCGCCTTGCCTATGTCAGCATGCACGGTGTGCGTGTATAGCCATGACACAGCTAGACATGGTAATAGTTTCATTTGTGCTCATTTGTGCAAATTTATTACAGATCCACACCTGTAATAATAATAATATCAGCTAATATAAAATTGCTTTGAAAATGTATTACTTAGCACTAATTTAAAATTATTCTGGCAATCAATGATAGGCCTCATCAAAGCCGCTATGTAGGGACTCTTTTCTAAAGATGTTACGGTTGAGAAATGTATTATAGATCTGCACCTCTAAAAGGCTCTATTAATGTCAGCTTAAGAAATTACTGTGATGTTCATAGTTCTCAGGAAAGAATTCCTGCAATAAAATAAGTAACAAAATAAAGCTGATATTATTAGAGCTGTTTAGAGATGTATAAAGTCTAGATGTATAATAATTTTTCAACCGTTAAGTCTCAAGAAATGAGTCCCTATATAGTGGCTTCGATGACAAGGCATACCTTTGATTGCTAGAGTAACTTTAACTTCGTGCTAATTGACAATTCTTCACAGCAATTACATTAGTCTATATCACTAGAGGTGTTGATCTATAATACTTTTGCGTAAGGTATATACAAGCCTATGCCTATGCACGCCCATACTATGCTGTGTGTGTGTGTGAAGCTAGAGCTTCGCCTCACCGTTTCGAATTTCGCATCCGTAAAATCTTTGATTGGCTGTATGCAAATGACATACTGGGGTCCGGAGCTCAAGTGGGACAACAAATACGCTGCCTGGTCTTCGGTTCTTCATAGACCCTGTACTGTATTTGATCCTAACAAAGCCGAAGACTGGAAATGTTAAGGTGACATCAAGGCTTTGGGGCTTTTTGAAGTAAATTGTGAAAGCGTCCGGACATTTCTCCACTTACCCCCTATTTCCTCTGTCATTTTTTTATAGGCTTCTATGTTATTTGTTATTGAAAATGCGACGATGAAATTGTGAAAGTGGGGTTGCCTATGCCCCGTCTAATTAAACCACACGGTGAAAATGTTGGGCAATGTTTTCCCAATACTCTGCCCAACGTTATGCCAATACTCAACCCAACCATCTATTGGGCAATATTTTCCCAATAAGTGGGCTAGAGTAGTCGGGGTTGAAGCGTCACATCTTTGGTCAAATTTTGGTCAAAATTACGAATCAATTATGCACGTTTGAAATAGAGTAATTACATTTACTAATACAACCGCATGGGCAAAATAAAGCCCGATATATGGTTGTGTTGACCAATATTGCCCAACATTTCAAAGTGCAATGAAAAGAAAAATCCACCCACCTGTAACTTCAGACCACTTCAATGAGTTTGAAGAATTCAAAACGCGTGCTTGTTTTGTTTCCCTGTTTTGTCTCTATTATGTGTTTTGTTTTTGTCTTTCAGGTATGATGTACTTGCTCAAGATCGAAGATTTTCAACAATAGAAGCATGTGTCGATTCCAATAAAACAAATTCATGCCAAATAAAAAAAAAACTGAATTGTTGATCAATGGTACTTATAAACAAGTATCGAAACCTACTGCATGCGCTTCATAAATTGTTGATGTTATATGCCATATCAATAATAATCCCTTGTCTACGTCTACGTACAGTAATCCCGGATCCACCTTCTCGGTTCTTCGTCGACCAAAACCGGACGACATTTTCAACTCTTGTCGTTGTCTGGCAACCAGGATTTGACGGAGGTCTCCTACAAACGTTCACTCTGGAATACTGTTCACACGGCACAAAGGAACCAGACGAGGCATGTGGTCTTGCTACCAACTTAACAGGAACTTCCTACAGATTGGTGAGATTGAAACCATTCACATGGTACCATCTTACTATATGGGCAGTAAACAGCGCGGGGAATAGTGACGCCATGGAAATAGTAGCTTCAACAACTCGTAAGTTTCTAAACAACCATATTTTCAAATTTTCTTGACGTTTGAACATTAATCATAACACAAGCTTTCATAAACATTTTTCTTTACTGACGCTTTCTTTGTTGGGCAACACGCGGTCATTTGCCGATCTTAATACAAACACTTCCATATAAATTTCGCTTTTGCTATCATTGGGTCGCTGATGCTCCTTGTTACTAAAGCACACCCTTCCTTATTGACGTACACTTACCTTTTTCAATACATATATGGTTTATTAATTTTCTGAACCTATCTATCTCAGGCGTTTTGCAAGTTAAACAGAGTAACTAATTGGATATATACTATATATCTGGTTTGGGGGTGTTGTAGAAAACTCATTTCCAAAGAAAGCTCAAACACTTCCCCTGTATATCCATTTTATCTATATAAAAACGAGTTTCCACTGTGACCCCCACATTTTCGCCCTCAAAAATATATTATATTGCTTCCATTAGTTGCATATTCTATCTTACTCGTAACTCCATGAAACGTACTTGCATTCTAACTCAAGTGTATTACTAATTAAACTACATTCTATTTGCTCAACTACAGAGAATCTGTCAAAATGTTACCACCAAATTTAGAAATTTGTTCAATTGTATCCACTCAAAATTGTTGAAATCATTCTTAAGCTTATCAATTAAGTTACAGGTTCTTATTTTGTTTAACGATGCATCTAATTTGATGGGCGTACAACGAGTAACACATAACGGGAAAAGCTTATAATTGTGTTGCACCAAAGTCATAGTGTCATTGTTACCCCCATCAAATTCATTCAATGTTGTACTCTTTATTGTATACTTTACGTGTAAGCAATTGATAAACTATAATATAAAAACAGCTTTTCAGTTGATGAAAGGAATGTGTCACAGTTATTTATAACTATATCTTTAATTTCAAGTCGAAGAATTGCATACTAAAAGCGTTTGAGATTGAAAACATACAACGCCAACGCAACGTCATTAAATTACAGCTATGTTTCTTTTCTACTTCATGCTCCCTCTGCCCTCGGCCATATTCAGCATTGCAACCCGAAAGATATGGTTAGTATAACAAGAGTTTATGACAAGGAATTTCATTTTTTCTTCGTTTTATATAATACAAATAATTTCATACGCACGTCGACTTTATGTCATTCAGGGAAGGAGAATGTGTTTCAGCTGCCATGTCCTTTCGGTCAGATGTCATGAGACTTAGTCCCTATTCGATTGTCATGTGTCTGTTTCGCTTTATATCTTCATGTATTGTTGCCAGTCGTCAAGAAAATGTGGAAAAAAGCATAGAAATAATTCGATTTTTTTTTTTTTCATTTGAGAAATAATGAAGACTTCATATCGTGTACAATACAAGACTATCATACAAAATGAAAGCCTTCAGAGGAAAATTAGCCATTAGTTTTTTTTAATATAGGAGGCAAATTGTACTAGACGTAATTGCATTGTGCACGTCAAGGCTGATATCAGGTCAACATTGTTGGATTAAAGTGAACTGCAGCAAATGTTTTGTCAAGAGCATCATGTGAAATATATCACGTTTAGCTTGTATCGCATCCCTCTATATACTTCCAATGAAGAAGCAAACAGCAAGTTGGTATATAAAAAGGAAGGGTTTCTGTTACAACTACATACTGAAGATGGAATTAAAAAAAAAAAAAAAAAAGAAGAACTAAATTGTTTCCCTTATCCGACACCTTGGAAGGAATTAATTAGTTAATGATTACTGGGCTGAAGAAATTTAATTTACTAATGAATCGTATGCGTCTTATGCATGTAATCCATTTTATATATAAATATATATATATATATATATATATATATATATATATATTGGCGGGGGGATCTACCTCCTTCACAGTTGAAGATTTGTGCAGACTGATGAGTATGTATGTGTACTTTCGAGACCCAGGTGCATGGTACAATGAGGTTGGCATGGTGTAAGTAAAACAAATTCTCGGCAGGTTATTCCGACTCCTCACAGCCCTGGCAAAGAAGGACTGTTTATGTTGATCAGTTCTTGAACGGGGACTTGGTAGCTATGTGCATGGCAAGGCTTTGTGGGTCCTGCGACAGGGTTGATGTATGTTGCTGTGTCGAGTGATCCCATGTTGCTACGGAGCTTGTACAACATCACCAGTCTGTAATTTTCTCTGCGTCGCTCGAGTGTGGTCCAGTCAAATTGTCGGAGCATGAAGGTCACGCTAGAGATGTTGTGGTACCGATTTATGATGAATCTATCAGCCCGTCTTTGTACCATTTCTATTTGATAGATGTGGTTTACAGGGGAGGGATCCTACACTGTGACACTGTACTCAACGAGTGGTCTTACTAGAGCTTTGTAGACAGTACTCTTCAGGTCTGGTAAGTTGATCAGGAAATTTTGTCGGAGGAAGGCGAGGGTGTTGTTTGTTTTATGGCATAAACTTGTGATGTGTTTGCCCCATTTCCAGTCGGATGTGATTGTGACGACAAGGTACTTGGTTGGTGAGACTTCTTCCAGTGGTGCGGAATGGTATATGTTTTGTCTAATTGTCCAGTAAAGCTAGTCATAACTTTAAAGACTTGGTTTTATACGTACAAGTACAACATGGACGCAGCCATTCAATTCTTTAAAAAGGTGTACCCGTGCGTACTATATCAATATTTCCTTTGGTTTTTTTTTTTCTTCAAACAGGAATAACCGCCACTCGAGACAAAAAAGAACACATGCTTTTATTATCAAAGGCGAACCAGTCTTTAGACGGAATCTGCTTCATTACCAAGAAAACAACCCTTTGGTCAGAATGTTCCTTTGTGAATGAAACAAAGTGCATTGAGCCCGGTACAAATATCAGCATTGACCCAGATGATAACCTTATTTTGGTGACCTACGGACGAGGGATGTGCAGTGAACCAGCCAATATTAAAGGTGAAGCTTTATGTTCGTGTAATTGTTAATAAAAGGGTACAGTTCGAAATTGACTGGGCATTTACTGTTCTCTATCGTATTCATCTGTTCATCCTCGTATTGATGAAAAGTGTAAAGTAGATAAGAAGAATGAAAAAGAAAGACCAGAGTGAACCTCCACTAACAGTGGACAATAATTATAGTGAAGCAAAGAAAATTAAAAATGTGAGTAATTAGAGTATATTCAATGTAGCAGTTTCAATTTACCATCGGTCTATTATTAATTGACACACATTAGATAAAACCCAGGTGTAAAGATCATGTGCCACAGACAGTAATCAGGTTTGCTATGTGTTAATTCACTCTAAGTGTATGTTTGGTGGTGTGTATGTGGTGTGCATGTATGTGTTTAATTGTAGGTGGATTCGCATATGTGTGAGAATGATTGGTTTGTGTGTGATCCATGTATGTATGAACGCACATGGGGAGGATAGATCGATAATTTAGGCCTCTATGTATTCAGCAATGTTATGTGGCTGAAACAATCTGGATGCGGTGGATCAAGATGTGTGTGTGTGGGTTAAGTGTTTGTGGTTGGATCAACATGTGTATATTGGTGGATCCACAAGTTTATGTGTGTAAATCAAAATGAGTTTTATGGATGGATCCAAACGTGTTTGTTAGTGGATCAGCATGTGTCTGTGGGTGAATCCACGTGTTCTTGGGGGGGGGGGGGGTCAACATGTATATGTGTGTGGATGATTCAACCTGTGATTAAGGGTGAATCCTTCTGTGATTGTGGGTGAATCAACAGGTGTGTTTGGGTGGATCAGCATGTGTTTGTGGATGGATTTACATCTGTATATGGGTTAATAAATATGTGCATGTTTGTGTGAATCAGCATGTGTGTGCGGGGAATCTAAATATATATGTGTTTGTGCATTTACATGCGTTTGTGTTTAAATCGACGTGCGTGTGTGTTGGGAGAATCGAAATTTCTCTATGGGTAGATTAACATGTGTTATCAACATGTGTGTGTGTGTGTGGATCAACATGTGCTAGTTGGTGGATCCACATGCGTTTTCGGGTGGATCGACATTCATGTGCTAGTGGATCCAGAGGTGTTTGTGGGTTGATCCGAATTAGTTTTGGGATGGATCAACACTTGTTTGTTGGTTGTTTCACATTTGTGTAGATTAGTCAATAGTTGTTTTGGATGGATCAACATGTATATGTTTGTGGGTAGATACAAATACAAGAATGGTGTCATATGCATGGATTGTCATATATGAGGGCTTAATTAGATGCGTGACCAACATGAGAGGATTTAGCAAGTATAATCAAAATTGTGATTACAAAGTAAACTCTCGTAAAGTAAACGAAAAAGTATTATTCTATGGCTTTATAATTTAAAGGGCTGTGAACAAAACATTAATTCGAACTTTAAAATTGACATAACTAAAATGCCCTACAATACAGGTTAACATCTGATATCGTTAAATCCCTATGTCATTTTGTTGATATACTTTTTCCTGCTAAGAATCGCCAGATCTGAAGGAGCCATCATTTCCAAGTAGAAAGACAACTTTTCTGACAATCGTTCTTGGAGTGATTGCTTCTGCTGGCTTCATCCTGATTTCACTGGGTTTGATGTACTTCTATGGAGTGTTATGCTGTGTGAAACTAAAGAAAGGTATGTCGGGAAGCAGCTTGCCCCCTACATTAACCTCAAACATTTAACAATTGTGTATATTTTCCAGGCTTCAATCTTCAACTTGTTATATTTCCATTTTATTTTACCACCTATCGCTTTCCTTTTTTTATTTTTTATTTTGTTCTCTCTCTCTCTATTTCGTTTTTATTTCTCTCTTGGTCACTTGTAACTCATATAAGTGGCGTCCATTCCATTCCTGAGAACACTTTTTACTTCAATGCATAAGTGAGGTGGAGAAATACATGTTGGGAATCAAGTTTTGAGTTACTTCATGTCTATACAGGAACAAAAAAATGATATGGTTATAATAATCCAAATATGACGAAGAAAAATCTAACTGCAAATCAGAGAAGTACGGGGTAGGATATTTTTATTTTATTTGTATTTACATGACTATACATCAACACAAATATATACATTTCCTTGCAGTTTTAATAACAAAAAACATTTTTTACGGATTTGAGGTAAAACTGCATACTAACAAGTTTGAAGAAAAAGAACTTATTCCTTGATTTGTTAGTATTGATCATGAATAATCTATACAAATAGAGTAAATAGGTATAATTTTTATCTAGCCCATAATCGTGTTTTTGTTGACGGTTAGTTGTTTACATTTAAATTTCTTTATGTGCAATCCAAACAGACAACGGAAACAACACTCGACCAGAAAGCCAAATAGTAAGTATATCATGATATCTGGAGAAACAAATCTGTAATAACGATAATTCCAAATAGCATTAATTATGTAATCATTGTTTTATTTGACAAAATACATGCATATCGGAGAAAGCTGAGCTGTACCATGTAAAAACAACTTATCTCCGAACTTCAAATCCAAAACATTCGATAACAAAACATGAATTTCAATTTTCAACTTAACTCATAACTAAATCCCACCAATTGAATTGGTTGAGTAAAGCCTCGCAGATGAAAGAAGCTTAAAAGTAATTATTTTTACTTTCTTTTGTATTCCAATTTGATCAAGAATCACGATAAGTCGTTGAGCTACTTTGTGAAAAACCGTATGCTACAATGCACGAAAACTTGCATTATGAAGACAAAATAAACCATTTAGTCACTTTCCTCCCGCACTTCATTGTACAGTTGTTGAAACTGTGGTGACCAATATCAGGTTTAGTCCATTATATATGATTTCCAAATTGCAAAAAAGGAAGGAAATCTTGTTTGTATTTTTAAACTTTCGATTTGTTAAATGTTGGGGGCAAACGTTGTTGATTTCCAATGGCGCCATAGAATGTAAATATGCCCCACTGTGTTTTAGGTAGAAAAAAAAATGTTGTGCCCCTTTGTAATACACGCTACTGAATATACCCACTATTGCTATTCCACCATTCATTTGATTTTATTATTTGTTTATACTCTATACCCATTTGTAAACTAAAGGCTCATACACCGTTCAATAAAAACTAAATAAGATGCTTACCATTGATACATTTAATGCATAATGAAATTATATACATTATATTTGAAAATTCACTTAGATTTTTTCTATTCTAGATGGACCAGGGATACTATGCCGAAATCGCACAGGAACTTCCATCTCACGCCTCCAAATCAGTTACAAGCTACTACATGAACATGAAGCCTCTTCCTCGCACCGACAATGACGACTACGTCAGTCCTAGTTTGACTAGAAAGTCTTCCCCGGCTGTGTACGTTAACAGAGACATGACAGATGAAAATGAGGTATAAAAATACATAAACAAGGATTATGTTAGTCCTCGTTTTGCTCGAAAATATTTTGGAGCTGTGTCATCATCATCATCAACTTCAGGTGGCGCTGTAAAGCGCTGCTGTGGTCTTCACGAGAGCAAGCAATACAACCCTTTCATCTGCCATTTGTGTTGCACCTTTCATCGCTTGTCCAGACACGTTCTTGATATCATCAGTCCAAGATATTGGTGGACTACCTCTACCCCGTTTTCCTTCGGGCTGTGTATATAAATACAAACAAAAAGGCGTCTAAAAACAAATTCGGTGATCATAAATATATCAATACCCTGCCCACAGCACAAGAAGATGATGATAAAACAACGAATACATATATAGAAATGCAGCCCATATCGCCAATGCCGTCTCTGTAACATATTTCGTCAACAATAAAGAAAAGCGTTACGCTGGGTACATCTAAAGTCATGTTTGAATAATGCCAAATTAGAAACAATATACAAATAAAAAAAAAATGTTTTGACGACGGATAGTCAACCTGTTCCAAACGTCGAGCCACTCCCGCCACTCATCCTCTCCGAGCGCTATAGTTCTCCTTAGAACTAAAAGCTAAGAAAGGTAACTAACAGTCTGTTTTCAAGACTACCCCAACAGGCGGTTTCAGGACTACACACCCTCAAGAAAGATTACTGAGATTCCTATACAGGATTCCTCAACCCCCCCCCCCCCTCTCTAACATGGTGCACCCGCAAGCCTACTGTTTTAATCCGATAATGTCGAATCTTTTCTCAGAAAAAAGGAAAATTTCATCGTCACAAAATTGTGTGGATCGAAGTTTGTGAAGGTCTGTATAGGGTTTTATCGTTGTATAAAAGGAAAAAAAAATACTTAGATACTTTCACATCTACACATATCGTCGGTGGGGTGACAAAACCTCGTATCTCAATTTGTTGAGATTTTGATTTTTGTTGCATAATTTTGTAGCTAATGGCCTACGACACCACCTGGTAAATCCATGGAACGCCTCCTGTCTCGTTTTTTTTTCACAAATCCACACAAAAACCCTTAAACTAAACCTCGTAACTTTAACCCCCTTCGAAGCTGCACTGACAAAACCTCGTATTAAACATAAGATACGTAATTCCTTTTCCTCGTAACTCACACACGGCCTAACAGTACCGAAGTTAGTGTATTCAAATCCTCGTATTAACTTATTCAACCAAAACCTCGTAACTCATTCAGAGTTGAAAGTAAGAACTCGTATCTCGATTTGAATAACAACTAAAAACTCGTATTTCAATGTAGATAAAAGCAAAAACCTCGTAACTCACTTTCAAATATAAAAACAATTATTTTACTGTATTTCAATGACATTAAAAATTGTACAAATATTCAAGTTTTAAAAAGAAAGGACGGTGTCACAGCACTAAATTTGTTGAGACAGGAAAGTTTTTTCGCTTTCCTGAAAATTCAAGATTCTTGAGATACGAGGTTTTGTCACCACGCCGACGATATGTAAAATTTAGAGAACAAACTATAGTAAGATACGGACTGATGCCTACTATTCTTTTTGAAAGTGTACGAGTAGGCTTTACATAGCATACGATTTATGTTTTCTTTCTTGTACACACTATTGCCATGCTTGTATCAAATGCTATCACACCTCTGAATCTAATGAGTAAATGAGCGAACGAGTAGATTACACTTCATACTTAATGAGTAATATCAAATGAATGTTGAGAGAATGTCGAACATTTTTTTATATTATGTATGCATAATACAAGCTGATTCATTAGTGTGGTTGTTAATTGTACATTAAATGAACAAGGGGTTTTGCACTGAGTAGGTATTAACCCTCTTTTGATTCAGCTCCATCATCACATTGTAAAACATTTCAGATTCGATTTTAGAAACAAACTGCTAGACATGTAAATGCATGTAGACATAATATTGAAAGTTGGACCACTGGCATGAGACCATGATCATTGGCTATTGAAAATTTTACACAAGTGATTCCTTGCCGTGTTCAACTTCACAGTTTAATATCAATTTATTTTACCAATATATCCATTTCAATGTACACAACTGTCTTTAGTTTTATGACGTAAACATCTGAATATATGACACCATGAACATGACGGACAAAGAAAGAGGACAGTGAAGGGATGTTCTTTTGTCTACCACAGCAATTGTTGAGGGTAGAATGAGTAACTGTATATTTTATCCTCTTTCTGTGTCCGTCATGTTCATAGTGTGAATATATATATATATATATCTTTAAAGGTTTATAACGAAATACATTTTAACTGACTTAAACGAATAATCTGTAATATTGAATTATTCTTAATATTTTATTTTACTTTAGTAAACTTAACGTGTATTATAAAAGTTTGTTATCATAAGAATCATTCTTTATTATACGCTATATCGTAAACATTGTACGCAAATACATGAATTACCAATTACCATGACTTATATGATATCAATTAATGAATGTAATTCATAATAATTAATGCGAATTATTTATCCAGATTGTAGGATGTATGGCAGTATTGTATTTTATATTGCATGTTATGACAGTCGCACTTGAAATTACTGTATCACCCAAGTCATTTGTGTCTTGTACAATTGATGCATGACATGAATACATATATATTTGCAATAGCACCTCATCAGGCAATGTACCTAGTATAGCGCCATCTATTGATATTCACTTGATATTGTAACGAAATCGTTATTTACATTACCTAGCCTTTAGAGGGCGTTAGTTATTGTAATTGTTTATTGTTATTGTAGATGTCGCTATGGTTACGTCGCGCACATGCGATGCGCGTACGTGGGGTTAATCTGGTGGGCAGTCTGTGTTGAGCTGCCGTAGAAGGAAGTTGTGCCTTAATTTGTTTGGAAGTTCAGATTATTAAAGTTCTTGGAAACATTACTTGATCTGTAAGTGCATATTATTTCCTGTGTTGGTAACTTATTTTAGTTAAGTGATTGTAAGCTGATCTGAGAGTGTCTGTTGCACAATATATTTTTGTGAGAACGTCGAGTACAGAGAAAGAGCGGGTTCTGACTGAAGAAGTGACGCTACCCAGAGAGTGAGAGACCCGTTTTCGTTACATTGGTGGCTAGCGGTGGGATTAAAACAGACACGAGACACGGTACTCGATCAGCATACGGCAGAGCTGATTATCAAAAATAAGGTTAATCGAGCATTAGCTCGACACGGCAACTCCTCACCGGCTTCAACACGGTGGTCTATAGCACCTCACCGCTTCAACACAGCGCTCTATAGCACCTCACCGCTACAACACGGCGGTCTATAGCGCCTCACCGCTTCAACACAGCGTTCTACAGCACCTCACCGCTATAACACGGCAGTCTATAGCACCTCACTGCTTCAACACAGTGGTCTATAGCACCTCACCGCTTCAACCCAGCGCTCTATAGCACCTCACCGCTACAACACGGCGGTCTATAGCGCCTCACCGCTTCAACACAGCGTTCTACAGCACCTCACCGCTATAACACGGCAGTCTATAGCACCTCACTGCTTCAACACAGTGGTCTATAGCACCTCACCGCTTCAACACAGCGCTCTATAGCACCTCACCGCTACAACACGGCGGTCTATAGCACCTCACTGCTTCAACACGGTGGTCTATAGCGCCTCACTGTTTCAACACAGCGCTCTATAGCACCTCACTGCTTCAACACGGTGGTCTATAGCGCCTCACAGCTACAACACAGCGGTCTATAGCACCTCACCGCTACAACACGGCGGTCTATAGCACCTCACTGCTTCAACACGGTGGTCTATAGCGCCTCACCGCTACAACACAGCGTTCTATAGCACCTCACTGCTTCAACACAGCGCTCTATAGCACCTCACTGCTACGACATAGGGCTAATAGCGCCTCATCGCTTCAACACATCACTCTGTGGCGCCTCCACACAACAACGACGCAGAAAGCATCAGTGTTTGGAAGAAACATTGTGGTATGGCTTCTCAGAGACTGACTATAGAGGACGAGGTAGAAGTCCTTGCAGCAGAAGTGCAGCGAGGCGACGAAGATCTACGTCGGTCCAAGACAGAGATTCAGTCATTATTAGAACAGAATCAGCTTCTCAGACTGCAGGTAAGAAGGCTGCATATCGATCAGTCTCCTGTAAGTTTCCCTAACCAGTCCCAGAGTGGAACACCACCCACTGCTGGTAGACGGGAACATGAGTCAACGGAGACTCATGCGACCACAATGAATGATAACTTGCTGGTCAATCCCAAGGGACCTGAATCACCAATGCATGGATGCCTAGAGGATCAAACGCAAGTGAAGGTGGCACACGAGCAGACTGCAGCTGCTGAGGCGAAGGGACTTCATGCTGCACAGTGGTCTCCAAGTAAAACATCAACAGCCGTTCGTCGGGCAGATGGGCTACGAACAGGCTTCTTACATAGGCAAGATTTGGATGCTTCAGATGTTCTTGCATCAATTCCTCACTACCAGCGACACAGGAGCGAAGTTCCAGGGGTACGGTCACCTGTTACACTGTCTAAGCCAAATGTATCGCCCGACAAATTCGATGGGAGGACACCTTGGAGGGATTACCTCAGCCATTTTGAAGCCTGCAAGGTCGCCAATAACTGGGGTGATGACCATGCAAAGGTTTTCCTAGCAGCAAGTCTGAGGGGATCAGCACTGAAGATCTTGGGCAGCAAGGCAGCTGACACTTCTCGGATCGCATACCAAGACCTGGTAGTTCTTCTAGAGAAGAGATTTGGCCCAGGCCAGTTGGCAGAGAACTTCCTCCTTGAACTGCGTTACAGACGCCAAGGGCCCAGAGAGACCCTCCAGGAACTGGGTCAGGCCATACGGGAGTTATCCATGTTGGCATACCCGGAACTTACTGAAGAAGCCCAGGATCGGTTGGCAAGGACACACTTTGCAGAGGCGATTGAGGACCAATCCATCAGGGAAGGGGTCTTTCGATCTAAGCCAACAACTATGGATGAAGCCATCCAGGCGGCCTTGGCAACTGATAATTTTTTCAGACTCGAGAAACAACGGTCTGGCAGGAGGCAGAAGCAGGCAAGGGCCGTTGACACTGATTCAGCAGCTACGATCAATGAAATCTGGAGAGAGCTGAAGAGAATAGATGAGAGAATCGCCAAACAGGAACGACCCATCAAGTCAGAAGAATTCAGACGGGAGAGACCCAACTCGTACAGGCGGAGAACACCAACAGCCACAGATGAATGCTACGAGTGTCATGAGAAGGGGCATTTTAGGCGTAACTGCCCTCACGCAAGAGAATACAGGAGGCCTTCGGGAAACGGGGCTCAGCCAACCCAGAGGCCCGAGGGGAGGCTGGACGGACACCAGGGCATGTAACTGACACACCTCCATCTCCTCGAGAATATCCTTCAAGGAATTACATATCTGATAAAGCACGACGTGGTCTTTTTGCTGAAGTGGAGATAAGGGGAATCAAAGCAAGGTTGTTGGTAGATTCAGGTGCCACCGATACCATTTTATCTTCATCCGTGTACTATCGGATACATTCAACTAATAGGCCAGACTTGACAGAAGTGGGAGTTCGCAATGCAGATGGCAGTAGCATGGAAACGCTAGGTAGTGCATGGTTGGAGCTTGGTGTAGGAACATGCATCTTTCCACTAGAAGTAGTCTTCGGCAATACCGACCAGGTAGACGGGCTACTTGGGCTGGACTTCATGGAACCAAATGGGTGTATTATCGATCTGAAGACAAAGGAACTGCGGCTCAAGGGAGAGAGAATCAAATGTACGGATGCACGAGGAGTTTCATTTAGCTCCAGAGTATTGATAGGGGCAACTACAAGGGTGCCACCAGGTCATGAGGTTATTGTTCCAGGCTACACGACAGGGCTGCAAGATGGGACAGGTCTAGGTCTCATTGAACCTGCGGAGAGTAGCGAGCTCCTGAACAAAGGCATCATCGTTGCACGGGTAGTTGTAGAAAGGACGGAAAC